TTTGTGTTATTTTCGAATTTTTTGACTGTGAAGGATCTAAGTACAGAGAGATTTCATATTCTGGGCTGCTAAGTTAACCCAAGTTATATAAGTTATATACTTGAAAGCTATCTTGACTTCAGAATTTGGGGTTAGGAGATGATGCTTTGGAAAATAGGTTCTGCTTTTGTTTTCACAGAAGATGAGAACCTGTGGATTTCTCCCAGACTAATGTGGTTTGATGGATCAAAACCCCCTGAAAGGTAGCTGTGAACACCCTCAAAATTACTTTGCTCAACAAAAAGCAGGAAACAGTTTGGAAAGAACTACACCCAAATTCCAAAATATAATTTATAAAAGTTTGTTTACATTTAAAGGGGGATATGCTATAGATAATAATACTTTGCATTGGTATAGATCTTGGTCTATTGATACAAATTTAAGATCAATTTTGTCATATGTATATTTCTACTTTGATTAAGTTATTGTGTTTGTGAAGCTCATATAAAAATGTAATGTATAATTAATAAATATAGGTTAATAGATAATCATCTATAATAGTCAAGTTTGTAGGCATCTTAGTTAGGTTTTCTAGATATATAGAGATATATTTCAGTTAGATAGGTATTCTTCAGATCTCTCCAAGACTAACAGAATATGACATTTAAAATGTTTTAAAAATTTAGGACTTTTCATGACAATGAGACACATCTGCTCCTGGTAGTACCATTCTACTTCAAGAGGATGGTGGGCATTGAAGAGGTTCCTTATGGAGTTTGCTAGCCATTTGGGCAAGAAACTGCTCTTGCCTGGACTGCTTGATGAATTGGACATGGAGGACCCACAGAAAAATGACTGCTGAAGTTGCCTAAAGAAGGTGAGACAATCTTTCAGAATTCCTGCTTCATGAAAGAGTCTGCCAGACATTCTGCTGGACACAGAAGAAAGTGACCGGCAAACTGCCAATATGGGCAGACCTATCTCTGAAATTTCCTGCTTCATGGAAGTCTGCCAGATGCTATGGTCCTGTAGGCTTAAAATGGATGCTCCAACACTGCAGAAGAACTTCAAGTGATTGTCCAGGCAGCAAGATGTCTCTGTCAATTATAAAGTTTTGGAAGTTGCTTACAATGCATTTCCTGTTTACTTAAGTAATATTATATCCTTCTGGAGTCTTTGATGGGAGTTGACGAATAGTTATCTTTTTCCTTAGTTATGATAAAAGATAAAGTAGATATAAATATTGAAACTTTAATTCTTGCTTGATACTTGTTTAATTATATGCAATTTTACTATGTTAAAGTTAAAACTTCCCTTTTTATTTACACAGAAAAGGGGATGTGATGTGGGATTTCCCTCTGTATGCTATGAATATGCTTTATTGCCATTGGTTAATAAAGAAGCTGCTGTTTCAGCCATTGACTTAGCAGAATAGGCCAAGCTGGGAATTCCAAGCAGATAGATGAGGAGAGAGTAGGCAGAGTCAGGGAGAAGCCATATAGATGCCAGAGGAGAAAGAGCCACCAGCAGGAACCTTTCTGGTAGGCTACGAGCCTCGTGGTAAAATATGAAATGATAGAAATGGGTTAATTTAAGACTTAAGAACTAGCTAGAAACATGCTTAAGCTGAAAGGCCAAGCAGTGATCTAATTAATACAATTTCTGTATGGTTATTTTGGGAGTCTGGGTAGCCGGGAATGAACGAGCAGCCTCCCCCAACATGGCTTTCTTTGGATTTGTCACTTTTGCCAGGTTTCAGTTGTCCTGTGAAGCTGTATTTTCACTTTCCTGAACTGTAATTCAAAGAGCTGAATGGCTAGTTAATTCCTTTCTACTAATGGGAAGAGAGATCTCATAGTACACACATAGCACTGGTGCTTATAGTTTAGGATTTTCTAATGTTTTGTATTATGCTGGAACTTGGTAAGCACACTTCAAAATACCTGAAACTGATAAAAAATGAATAAAAAACCTGTGTCTATAAATTCCAGCTGAAATGTAGTAGTTCAGTGGTAGAGGACATACCAGCATGTAAAATGCTCTGGGTTCCATGCCTAGCATAGAAAGAAGGAAGGAAGATGAGGAGAGAAATATTCCTCAACATCACTTTTTCTTTAAATGATGAAGCTCATCTATATAGACATGTTGCACATTTTCCAGTAAATCTAGAAGCAAGCCAGAGTGTCTGGCATGCACTTCACAGAGCCTTGTAAAAATCTTTCCAGCACTTCACTGGAAACCCTTGTGGTTAAGAATAGCTACTTTAGGTTCAACCCAGCTCTGATTTTTTTTATATAGAGAATGCAAAATGTAAGCAAAAAGACTCTTTCCCACCATGTAAATCCCATCCTATAACCGTAGGACATAACTTACTTACTCTTCCCAGTTTCCTCTCTTCTCAATAATGCTTATTTTTGCTTTTGTTTTACTTCACTTTTTAAAAGTTCTTGAAGTGGCAGAGATCAAACCCAAGGTTTCACACTTTAGGCAATCCTCCACCACTCAGGTTTCACCATAAACATTCTTTTGAGACAGGGTCTAAGCTGCCCCAGACAGCCTTGAGTTCACTCTGTCACCAAAACGAGCTTTGAGCTCGTGATCCGCTTGCCTTGGACTTCTGAGCAGCTGGGGCTATCTGCTTATTCCACCGGGACTACTACATTGTTTGCAGTAAAGATAATGGGAGAAAGCTGACTTTCTGGGAAATGCAGGCCTGAGAATCCTGTGTTTAGGCGAGCAACTCCCCACCATGAGCAGCAGTACAGCTAAACAGATCTATTCTATGACAGCTATGGAAAGCTTGCTTGCTCTCTTGGCCACCACACAAGCCATCCGGCAGGCACTGCTTCAGTAGTATGCACTTTGAGCAAGGTGTCAGTTCCGATTCCAGAACTGACCTTTCAGGTGTGTTGTCAAGAAAGTAACCTATTGCTTTCAAAATATAGTTTTCTTCTCTAGGAAATGACAACAGGATTATTGATACTTGACCTTGGAATGATGATTAAAAGGTATAATTTTTGTGTTCCATGCATTTTTATTAGTTTTTAAGGATATTTTTAAATACTAAGTGATCGATGTAATTACACACATATGTGCTACACACTTTGTTTTAATTCATGCCCTGTCCCCTCTATCCTATTGATGAATATTCTTGACACAGACCCAGATTTCTTCTATACATTTAAATTGTTTTGAATAGGAATTTTCATTCCTTTTAATGGCAAATATCTGTTTTGGCAATCAGATCCCTTAGAAGTAGGTGGTCTCTGGCTGATGGAGGAAGGTCATTGGCTAATAAAGAAACTGGCTTGGCCCATTTTATTGGTTAGAACATAGGTGGGTGGAGTAAACAGAAAAGAATGCTGGGAGGAAGAGGAAGTGAGGTCAGAAGTAATGCAGCTCCTCTCAGAGCCAGACGCCTCAGACAGAGAGGCATGCTCCACTCTTCCTGGCAGATGCACGCAATGAAGCTCCTCCGACCCAGGATAGACGTAGGCTAAAATCTTCCCGGTAAGCGCACCGGGATGATTAGAAATGGGCTAATTTAATATGTGAGAATTAGCCTAGAAGAGGCTAGATAGAAATGGGTCAAGCAGTGTTTAAATGAATACAGTTTGTGTGTTGTTATTTCGGGCATAAGCTAGCCAGGTGGCCGGGGTGCTGGGGACGCAGCCCCACCGCTCCTATTTCAGCACTCTGTTGGCTTCTAGTCCAAGCCCCTCATTGTATAAGGAAAATATGAAATATGCCAGGTTCCTATCCAGAGTATTTCCCTGATGAAGAAGAGAAAGTATGTTGTCTATTGATGAGTTGAAATGATACCGAACTATAAAATATTTACAGATTATTTTTTCCCCTTATTTTAGAATACCAGACTTCTGAAGTTGCCACAAAGTGTCTTTGTTACTGGAACATGCACATTGTCTTAGTATTTTTTTTTTGTTGTTGTTGTTGCTGAGATAAAATATCCTGACAAAAGCAATTGAGGGGATAAAGGGCTTCTTTTAGCGCACGGTTCCAGATTATAGTTTATCATTTAGGGTAAGTCAAGCACCAGGAACTTGAAGCAGCTAGTCACAGTTACACTCAAGACCTGAGAGAATTAATGCATGTATGCTTGCATTTTTTTTCTCCATTCTTAAATAGTTCACAATCTTCTGCCTGGGGAATGATGCCACCCACAGTGGTTGAGCCTTCTTATCTCAATTAACATAATTGAGATAATACTCGCCCTTCCACATTCTTGCAGGTCAATTCCTCATTAAGGCTCTCTTCGCAAGTGATTTTAGATTATATACAGTTGACAACTAAAACTAACTTAGCCCACAGAGAGGGGTGAGTGTAAACAATGATTTTATTTTGTGGGAAGAAAGGAAAACTGAAGCTTCTATCGTCTACCAATATTCTTGGTCTACCTCCCACCCAAACACAGTCTCAGCAAAGCAGATTGACACGATAGTGGGGCATCTCTGGCTGCTGAACTTGTACATGCATGACAGGTGATGTGGTCCTTCTCTCATGCTGGAGTCTGCCAGTTGTGCTCCTATAGTCTTACGATGCTAGAATGGTGGACCTGGGAAAGTCTTTAGTGCGGACTACCAGATCCTGTCTCATTTTACTTATGATAAACTAAGTCAGGGGAAAGGTCTCTCAAGGACATGTATGAGTGGCTCACAGATCTGAGACCAGACCCTGCAGCTCCTACTGTGATGATCTGTGCTCAAAGGCTTTGGGGACACCATTTCCTTACTGACTTTTGTTTATTGAGACCAAATGGTAAGGAATTTGAGGCTGAAGTTATGTGCATTCAAAGACAAGGGAAATGCTTTTGATTTTAAGATCTGTGTTGTGGTTACTGGACAAATCTTGGAATTGCCTCTCTCACTAGTACAGGCTATGATATCATCTGAGAACTAAACTAAATGCATCTGGGAGAAACAGCATGACCCATTTCTGCTTTCTGCAAAGTTCTCTGTTACCTATGTAGTAGCAAGTCTCCATGCTATTTTCTGCTAACATTAACTCCAGTTTAGCTGTCAGAAATTCCTTGATCCTGAGAGGTAAGTGGTCACGTGGATCAAACACAACCGCGTTCAAGGATTCTGATGCCCTCATCGCCTGTGTCCACCTCCCTGGCAGACGATCCCCAACCAGTCTTCTAGATGCCTCACCCCTTACGCGAAGGGGCTTCACTCATTTGCCACTCCACTCCTCTATCCTTCTTGTCATCTTTTGGCCTTCACTTTCAACATGGCACCTGGAGGTGCAGTAACTATCTCGAAAGCCTGTAAAGATGCTGGAAAGCAACACGGTACGCCTGGTAGCCTAGGAAGAGAGTCTTGCGCCCGAAGATGACCTGAGCAGCCAAAGAAGTTAGTCCATTAACTTTCAATTTAGTCTCAGTCAAGTTCTTAGGATGCAGGTAGAAGGCAGCCAGAATCTTTTCCAAATAAACGGTCAGGAGCTTGGGCTCTCGCCCAGTTGCTGATGCTGTTCTGTTCTAAAACCCCTTGAGCTGGCTGCCCATCAGTTCCATTACTGTCAGCGCTATTGCTTTCCAGGTTCCTGCTAGAGGGGCCCCAGTCACCTGCGCTCGCAGCTTTCAACTGATTTACTCGTGCAAAGTTCCGAAGTCTTCCACCTTCCTCCAAAAAACAAAACAAACAAAACACCAACACCATCAGAGTCTTCAGGGCAACACCCTGCTCTTCGGTACCTACGTTTGTATTAGTTACTTTTCAGTTGCTGTATTAAAATACCATGACCAAGGAGGCTTATAGAGGGAGAAGTTTATTTTGGCTTACACTTCCAGAGGGAGAAGAGTATATCATGGTGGCGGAAGCGTGACAGCAGGCAGCTGGAGCAGGAAACTTTGTACTCACAAGCAGGAGTCGAGAACTGGAACTGGAAGTAGCGTGAGTGAGTCTAAGACCTTTCAAAGCCCACCCCTAATAATGTACATCCTCAGCAAGGTTACAGTACTGTCCCAGACAGTGCCACCGACTTGTAACCATGTGTTCAAATACCCTATGCTCCAACCACCATGGTGGAGACTGTGATAGGAATATCTAGAAATACTTTTCTTCTCTTGAAACAAACTAACTAAAAAGGCAGTACTATAAGTCTGTCCCAACTCTGAAGAAGTCTAGGCATTCCCTGGTACCAGAGCATTGTGGGAACCTTTTCCTGGCCATGAGTGACACGAGACAATGCCTATGTGGGTGATTTCTTCCAATTTTGGCTGCTAAAGGGTTGTGAGAACTCCTCTTTAAAAGTTCATCCATTCTAAGAGCCCTGCCAAGACTTTTCAGTTCCTCTCATTGCCACCCACTGCTAACTCCTGCCAGGAAACAGCAGAGAAACCTATAAAGGCTGTTCAGGGATCGCACGGACTTCTTACCAACTAAGCCACAAGCCAAGTCCTCAGGTTTCATCCTCCGTGGGTGGTGGCAGGGGTGGCCTTGTGTTTTGTTTAGTTTTCTGCAGGATCCCTGAAGTCCTTTCTGGAAAACTGAAAAAGCACAGCACTCAGAATGCTTCGAAGGATTTTTTTTTTTCTCACGGACAACTGGAACCTTAGGAGCCAAAGGAGATTGTGGAGAGGATGTGAACAGATGGTCATTGAGGATAGCTGACCGGGTGGGCTGGAACACAGGCCAGGACCTGCCACCTGAGGATTGTGCTTGGGATGTTCAGATGACGCGTGAGCAGCCACATGGGGAGCCCTGTTCTG